TTTTAGTTTGAAGTATTCTGGACTTTATTTACCCGGTTTCCACAAAGTACTGCTTTATTTGGTAGATCAATACATCAATTCTACGAGTATTATTCGAGATTTGCACCAACAAAATAGCTCTAAGCGTGTTGGAAGAAATTATCTACTGTAATATCATTAATATTAGGTCAGTCTTCGGCAAAGCAGAAGAAGACCTGGTTATAAACTTTCCCTTCCACTGATTATGGAAAGGTCAGGAGTGAGAGCATCTGTGGTAACATATGAAAATCCGTTTGATTTAACACAAAGCCGTTACATAAACCGATGCAGCGTACGCAATGTACGGAGTAATGAGCGAAATTTATTGTTTTTTTAATGAGCGGCCATTTTTCCGCCCACCGGAAGCAGTTGTTATTTGTAATCTTAGAACTTTCAAACAACTTTTTTTTGCATCACCCTCCCACAAATTAGAAGAAAACAAATTCACGAAGGAATTCAGGTTAGATAGCGAGAAATCCAATGCCAGCTAGAGTGGCGTTTTAACAATGTCTAATTCAGCACCACACATAAAAACTAAAGGGAGATTTATGTGTGACGTTTCTCCTGTAAGCTGACAATCAGCTGAAATGCGGTTTGTGTGTGTGTTTTCTTTCTTCCTGTTCTGTCTGTCCACCATTGGCGGCGCAGGAATAATTATTTATGCAGCGATAAGGTCGGCTCACGCTTAATTTAGACGGCGTTATAAGCTGATCGACATAACTGCCCATGCGCCCAGTCTTTTCAGACTGGTTCCTCGGTCGTGACGGACCGAGAAATAAGTGCAATTAACTGCGCTTGAAAAGCGCAGGAGAAAACATTGTGCGACAATCAGCTCAACCTGGTCAGATTAGAAACCACTGGGATAGGCACACATGCCGTACTGGCTGCACATAAAGGTAGTGGGCCGGTACATGGTACCAAATTCGTGTACATTCACGAAAACTTTCACTTTCGCGCACTCACAAATACATTTTTGTTTTGGTTTATGACATTCTGTAGCGAGAAAATTTGTATACACTGGCGCGAAAACCGTTTGTACGCTCCACATCCGGTTCGGGAGTTATGGCTGTTAGAAAATTCCAAAAAGTTTAAATGCGTTCAGGTATACCCAAAGTCTGATCATGGACCGATCTCCCTGGTGGCTCCTTAACTATCTGCACTTTATAAAATTAATTGAATTGCTGTGATTTGTGTTGTGTATAAGGCCGATTTCCACTTATACACAACACAATGGAACTGCAAAGCTAGCACGATAATTGTACGTAATAATGCACACCAAAATGTCTGAGTTATTGACCGGTGATATTGCTTGATTAATATTGCCATTAGAGGTTGATTGTGATATGCGTGATGGGCGTGCGTGATATGCGTGATGGGTACAATCCCCGAACAGGATAGCATCGAAGAAGTGTTTTTATTATAAATTATATTCTGCTTTGGTACTCAGTTTTGTCCTTGCATTGTTATACTTATTAAAGGTCTTCAGGTGTTGATTGTACATTGTACGAATATTTAGACTTAACATTCCTTTATTGTACCATGACAAAATCAGTTTACAGTAGTATGCACCGTATTGACGGTAACTACCTTACAGCCGATTTCTCGTCATTACAAATCTCGTATTAATATTAGTTTTGTGGTGGACGGCGGCTTTTATTCAGGCTTTGGCGCTAAACTGCGCTCAAAAGCCCTGCTGGATAACACTGGCGGCGAAATGCATCCACAATATTCTAATTAATTTTGTCATCATTCCTACACGATGGATGGTCAGGCAGAGCTGCCTGCTGTTGACGCATGTAGACATTGTTGTCCGTGTGATGCGTGTGCACTTAACGGGTGTGTTGCCATACAATCTCTCCACACTGTATCAACCTGTGATTAATGCCGCTGGCGTTCGTTCACGGTCAACGCCGCAATGCCCGTGATAAGACAACCGGCATCATTGCCGCGCTGGTCGTCTCCATTTATTCACTTTAATTACTCTTTCACACCCAGCTACATTAAGTGGGTGACCTTTATATATAAAAATATAATCGAATTTTTTTATAAACGGGTGACCTTTATATGGGATCTTTACATATATATATGCGGTGACCTTTATATGTATTTTGTCCTCAACTATGTCGCCATCGCGGAGTGTTAACGTAATAATGATGACCTTTACGGCGGTTTTACTGGCCGTCGACGAGAGTATCCTCAGCCGGATGGACGACGACAGCAGCGCCATCTATGTGCAGCCGCAGCCGCGCTCCCGCCGCCCGGAAGGTCCTCAGCATCGTCCGCCGCCCGCGCCCATAAAGAGCGGGCTAAAGGTCATCAGTAAGAGTGCCTTGCAAGGCAGTAAAGCCCTGCCGCGGCGGCTCAGCGTCAACCGGAATTTCGGCTACAGGTTATGGTTACAGCCGCGGGATATCCCCTTCCGGCTGGCCACCGACTCGGCCACCTCCTAAGGCAACCGTCGACATTTTGCATTAGCACAGATCAATTATTATTTTTTATTCAGTTTATTTACGTGGTTTTGCACACCGTAATAAAATTAATAGAATTTACTGAAAGCGGGGTAAATGAAATAGGTAATTAAATATTTTTGTATTTGTTGTTACCCTAATCACTGCACATCAATATAATTTTAACCAACCATCAACCACTATATTATATAAAAAGAACTTAATTATCATTATCTTTTCCGTGGTAAATTATTATTATATTTTTTAAAAAGCGGGTTAATTTTACCACGAAATTAGTATATGGATTTTTATTGGTCAAATCAAACTCATACAGAACTGTTAGAGAAAAAACACAAAACTACAACAGCAAAAGTTCATGCAGTTTATCCTGCCCTTCCATCGTGCCCAGCACTGACGCTGCATTTCCCCTTTGGATTTCTATCGACAACCGCTGCCGCAGAAATTCATGCGAACGTCCTTCTCCCGTTTGCTGTTTAAGTCTTTTCCCTAGCTCTTTGATGATTGCAATCGCCGAAGGTCCCCATGAACCAAGCGTCTCGAAATTACTGGAAAATGTTCAAAAATTATTTTAATTACAGAATAAATGGGCTAATATAAGAACGATATATGATAATGACTTTTACATCAAAACAGAAATTTATAAGACATTGTGTTATATTAGAATAATATTTGGTGATTAAATATTATATTGTAACTACATAGTTTATGAAAAATTAGTTTTATCATTATTTTTATTATGATGTAATAATACTTTCATTAGTACATATTTCATAAAATAAGGTCTACGGGGCAGCAGCTCTACGGGGCAAGCGGTACAGCTACCGTCAACCGCACCAAAGAGAATACAAACACCCTGGTTTTACGAGTTCTTACATGGTTATTTGGGTTTTGAGTAAGGATGTAAGGCTATTATAGCGCGGGTGCATTGACTTCACAGGATCCCCTTGATTCCAGGTGTTTGTTACAAATCTACTTCCCGGTGTTAGTTACAAAGGCGTGCATAGTGGTAGGTTTTACAGTACTCCGAAATTGAGAGACAGGGCCTCCTCGAATGCTTATCCATTTCGAGGACTGGACCACCTTTAAAAATCCGTTGACGATGCTGCATCCGCGCATCGAAAAGCTGTGTTCATCGTCGATGTAGACAGCTGCTTGATTCGCGGATTTCGGACTTCTTGTTGTGGTCCTGCGGCCAGTGCCGTTAATAATTCGGCTGAACACAGAAGCCAGCCATTGCGAATAAAAGTTCATTTGATCGAAATGACTCTGGAGTCTGTTTAAAGTGGACATTAATTTTGTAGGAGGGAAAATCCCGCGTAAAATCTCCGGTGAGAATCCCGAATTCTTTTCCGCGCTGCACACTGATTTCAAATCTGAACGCATGCAGAGAGCAGAAGCATTTCAAGCCAGCAGTGGATGTCATTGGATAGACCATCCACAACACTACGGTTATCGCAATGACAAAATTCAATTCTTCCATAATCCTTCTGAAAACAATATCCAGTGATAGAATCTCCGATTTAACGATATTCATGCGTAAGACTGTAGCAGTTTCGGACACGCATCAGATGCACGTGACGGGTAAAGTATTTGGAGGACCTAACATTGCATGGCAAAAACAGGTCTTCTACCTCCGGTCCACGGTTTCCTGTGGCACGACAATGGCGCCTTAAACACCAGCGATTACCGCTGTACACACATCATCGAGCAATAATGGGCTTTAGAAAACAAAAAACAATGTTGAGATACGAATGCATGGAGAGCAGCAGCAAGGAGATGGAGAAAGACAAATAACAACTGCCAAGTATAGTGTGCAACGCGCAGTAACTGAGAGAATGGCTACCGGCACTAATCATGGTAACCGCCGGCCGATGGCGGCGTTCAGGTATGTGAGTCGACTTCCGTTTCCGGTGAAATAGGATACTAGAGCCATTCTCTCGTCCACACCAAATTCGAAGCAGCCGTTTGAGTGGGTTTAAATTCCGCCATTTTGAATTCTGCAGCTATGTTTGCAGATTTCTTTTAGCCGATGCTGTATATGTATATCTGTACAGTACATACATGATGCATGGAGCGTTTTTTCCAGTGCCACTATAAGCGCTCGTCAAAATACTACCGATAACAGTGAGAAAACATCTCCCCGACGCCGGGCATGAACATTTTGCAAGCCTTCGTCGATTGCAAAACTGTAACCGGCCACTCGTTACCGTGCTATGATATGCCGGATAATGTGCAACGCTTCCGCTTTCACTATAGGAAAGTGCAGCGAAAATCAGTGACAAAACCTGGCTTTTGATGTATCACAATGCGCATAATGTTGTTATGGATTTATTGGCACTTGTATCTATACAAAATCGGTACGGCCTGAGTTTTTTTCATTGATTTTTGCACTGTGGATCAGTCAACGGTGGCAAAGGGACATTGGGCAGTAATAGTAGAAGTGCGACAACGCGCAGCTCGCCGCACAACGGCAGATAAGATAGCAACCATTCAGAAGGAACTTGGGTAGAACTGTCAGATTTGCGAATTTTCATGTATTTGACCTCTGTTCACAGAATTACAGAATTTGTGGTGACAGGCAAAGAATGCGCGCTAACTAAGAATCTGCCTCTATCGCTGGACTCCAGTTCGGATGTTATGGCGTTCGCTGTCGTTCAGGCAGTGAGCGGCATAAATCTGCCGCGCCGATTCCCGGATGGTCTCCACGGCCTCCTCGCCACAGTGTGCCGCCCTTGCCGCGCCGGCTGGACCGCTCGACTCCGTGATTGCCGCCGCGTTAAAGCTGCAGGAGAAAGCGGGAACATCAGTACAAACTGCAAACTCTGTTTGTACTCTTTGCAATCTCTGCAGTGTACAAGTACTTTGTTTCCATAGCGCGATAACAATTATCAAGATCTAATTACGGTTAAACAAAGGAAACATATATGGTATAGTATACGATAGCCGGACGCCACCTACTAGCAGTATTCCACACGACCGCACCCCGGATGGCTGTTGATCGGGACGTCGTCCACCCGGTCCTTAGCCGCCGTTTTCGCGGCCCGACGGAAGGACTGCTGCAACTTGGGGTCGTGTCGGCGGCAGTGACTGACCGCGCGAAAGTGTTTGACCGGGGCGATGCTGGTCGCGCAGAGACGGCCCATGGCGATGTAGTTCTCGGCGGCGTACCATCCCTTGGGATGGTCCTGGAGGAATTCCGGGCAGCTGGTCAGCAGGTCGCGGTAGCAGTAGCCGCTCTGGTTGGAGTACCTAGGAAACACTGCCAATGAATTATTATTATTATTATTATTGTTATTATTATGACTAGTGGTGGTCGCGAACCACATCACTGCACGAACGCGAGCGCCAATACCACTGGGAAATGGTTCTGGGATTGTGGAATTGTAAAAGCGTGACGTATACTCTTCGTGGCGTCAGAGATACACTGCTGTGGAGTGTATACTCTGCTATGAAGCGTGTAGTCTTGACGAAGGCTTGAACTTCGCGCTCGGTGCAAAAATTATTATTATTATTATTATTTTTATTACTATTATTATTACCGAACAACAGCAATCAAACTCTTTTAACGGGGATATCATACCAGGCTACTGGAAAAATTTTTATGAGATGAAAGTCACCCAACTCAGAAATCGAAGCCACGACCGACAGTCTTAAAACCAACCGTACATATGACTGTATAAATACATAAAATACATAACCAACCGTACATATTACTGTAGAAATACATAAAATACCTAAAATAACGTGTGATGGTTACCGACAGGATAACATCATTGTACCAGAAAATACGGCCAATAAAGGATGCAACGTTAACCCACCGGCAAAAGGCTTCGTCCACCGGCTGGTACTCCCGCAGGATCTCCGCGGTCACCGGCCACGGAATGCTCAGGCTCATGAAGCGCTCAACGGTTAGACGCTCTTGCTTGCCATACTCCCGGCAACGGGCGGTTAATTCCTCGCAGTCCAGACTGCAGACGCTGCGGGCACAAAGCGCCCAGGCAAACAACGATAATTGTCGAAGCATTTTACGAGCTATAGTTGGCCAGATTCCGGCTGGCATAAGAGTGGTTGGTTGTGGAAAGTGTGCGGCTGAACTATCTGTACGGCCGTTAAATACCGGCCGAGGCTGTCATGGTGAAGGCATGCTCAGCAGCCTTTGCAAATTTAGTTGACGGGGCTACCTCTCTCATCCTCTTCCGCTCTGCTCTGTATGGACGCATGTACGGTATGTACGGTGGTGTGCTATGCTATGCTATGGTAACAGTCAGGATACGATCGATTCATTCGGCGATAAAATCAAAGGGCCGGTTTTAATTCTACGGCTTCCTGACATGGACGTGGAATCCGGTTTACATAGATGCACAATTTTCAAGCGTGCAAGTACTCGTAAATTAAAAATTATTTTAAGAAGAAGTTATACCGTGTTCGTGTTCTGAGCGGCAGATTCGCTTGTGCACGATGCGCATAATGTTGACAGCAGAACCGTTACAGTCTATACAAAATGCCCTGCCATCACAGTAATATCATGTACTAAATTTGCAGCTGTTATTTGAAATTTTTCATTGGAAACATTGCCATGCCGGAAATGGCAACAAAAAGAACTAGGAAAATGCACCAGGTGGTTCATTAGCAGACCGGAGCGCTGCTGCCAATGCACCACTGCACCTTAAAAATGCTATGCGAGAAAACCTCAACAACAACTCCGAGCATTAAATGCTGTACAAACTACAAAGGGCATTCCAAACGTTAGAGAAATTCTCCATTTTTGGGTTTACCTCACAACCTCATTCTGCTCTTCGCACCCATATTGTTTACCATATCCTTTTCTAAACCCGTTCAATGAGAACCTAATTTGTGTTCACCAAGCTGAAAAACTTCGGAAAAAAAAACAGTTAGGCGCTTTCTTACATCCAATGTTGTGGGTTTCCGGCAGTAAATTTTATTCCACAGCTTGGAAAAAATTTACTCATAACTAAAGTGCACTGGAATCGACTAAAAAATCGGCCTTTATTGACTAAATTCTCAGGACGCATGAAACCGGAAATCCGCAAGAAATGTTACGTCTTATGGTAAAAATCACTTCTTTAATTAGTGAGAGTTTGTAGACGATTTGTGTCATGGTAATAACAAGGGTGCAATCAGCATTCGGCGACATCAATTAAAATGGAAAGCAGAAGAGTGGCAATAAAATAACTGAGAAGCGTTAAGAGGCAGAGAAGTGGTAGTGCAACAAATAAATTTTAGGAAGGGCAGTGGTAAGACTGGCCGAACCATCACCAGTTAAACAGTTTTTATCTGGACAGTTCTTCTTCGATGATTTTATTGCAGTAGCGTACATGTCAAGATAGGTGCAAAAATATATATCGTTTGTGTATCACTTAAAACGGAAGCAGGCAAATGGCGGGAAAGAACAATTGAAACGCCCTTTGTCTTACGCATATCTGCCGTTGTTGATGACGGGTGGTAATTTAACGCAGCTTTGTAGCTACAGTTTACTTTCGAAATGGATTTTAAGCCGATATGTGCTATTGAAATTATCTGGAGCAGAATTTTATGAACTGTATCAGGACTTACTATTTGCTTTCGCAATTTCCCGCAGATGTTCCACTGGCCGAAAATTGATGAGACGAACCGAGCAGTTTTGGTCTGATAAAAGCAACGTTTCGTTTTCCTGTGTAAAGGTTATGCAATCATTCCAATGTGCAGTTGTTGATGTCAGACAGGTATGCACAGCAACCTGCCAGTTCCAACTGGATCTCTTTATGCTCTGTGTATTAGTTTATTCAGTTGCATTTTATAAAAGAGCACGGCGCTTACGTCGTGACAGGCACCGAAAGGCGTTTGAGTCCGATAGAATTTTGTGCATTTTAGGTTGAAAAAATTTCAAACCATTCAGTGTTTCAGTAACTACTGTCGCCGAGCTGTGAATTCCAAAGATAGTACAGATACCTTAGTCATTGTAGCCGCTGGCGAACTTGCACCACTGTCAGGTCCCACAGCTGCTCGCCCCCTGCCGGCCTTCGCACGCGTTACTGAGAAGATAAACCCACCATGAAGGGCGTTCTTCGTACACCAAGCTCTGTGGTGCAAGTTCGTCCACCAGTTGCAGTATATAACGTCACCTTTACATCCTTATATGACGTCGGCTGACTCTCTTAGTTGACGTGATTTCTGTTCTTACATCGAGATATTTTTTACTTCCTTATATGACGTCCCTTTTACTTCGTTGCATGATGTCACTTCTCTCCTCGGTATAAAGACAGATAGACGTGAATCTGGCGTGAATTAGATGACCTTTGCTGCGCACTGGTCGATGGCGACGTTTACTTCCTTATGCTGTCCTATTACTTCCTTATATGACGACATTTACTTCCTTGTGTGAAGTCATTTTCTTACTTCCGTAACGGACAGACAGACAGAAACTTTTTAATTTTGTCCGAATTAGAGGACCTTCGCTGCGCTCCGGTCGATAATTTAAAAACAGGTGCTGAAAAAAGTGGTTTTTCGTTTGGCATGTTCTTCTTCGATTCTTTTGATTCTTATTTCTTTAGATAGTTTACATAATGGGTTATCCAGGAAAAATTATATCACTTGCGTATAAGTTAGAATCGCAGGGCTATCGTACCAGCGGATGCACTCCAAATATTCATCGAAACAGGAAACTATCGTGATCAGCAACTTGAAAACAAAAGCTTCCAGTTTAGCTGTTGGAAATAAAAAGGCACAACCGACTGGATAAATCACCGGAAAAGTCATTTTCGCAAAAACTGAAGATACTGATAATACACGGAAATTTGCTCTTGTTGCGCTCTTATGGTCCTCGCATACAGCGCGGTGGAAATCAATAGCTTCTGCTGGGAAATTTCAAGCGCTGCTTTCGCTGCATGGATGGGCTGTTGATCCCCGCCTCGAACACAGCTTACCGCGAATCGCCATCCATGACTGATTCCGCCGGTATGCGCCGCGCACACCGCCACACACCTGCGGGATGATGGATCGCCGCTGAACGGCAGCAGTCGGTGATTGACTGGATAAAGAATCAGCGTATGACCTCATAGTGTCAAGGCTTGACATTTTGCGGACATAATCTATTTCCTTATCCTTGCTTCGTCGGAATTTGCTTTCACGTCCCACACCAGCTTTTCTTCCTTATCGTTGCCGAATTGCACAAAGTTCCCGATGGCAACCACAATGATGCGGATTCGATGTATTCTACTATTTTTAAATGTGCGTTTTATATTTTATATATGATAATGTGTACATCTTGCTGTATTGATTCGCCAGAAATTACCGGACAAGCTTGTATGCAGACCACTGAGATGCCTACTGAACTCAGCCTACACATAATTATCTATGGCGACGCTGGTTCCCGACAACCAGTGGCACTACAACGCTGGCTCTTTTATCCAGGATGTTTCCGGCGAAACGATCCCTCAAGGAGAAACGAACAGCTCACGCCCTTCCAGCGAAATTCCCGGGCAGCCTGACCCAGGAAATTCGAGGCCTTGCGCTGCTGGTGGATTAGCATTACCGTGACCTTGCTTAAGAAACATGTGCTTGATCTTGGCGACGAGTTGTCCGGCGCTGACCGTGACAAATGTCAATTTCGCTGGCGAGGTGTCGTGCTCGTTACATGGAATCCATTAGACGAGTTCGCCATTTTTCCAGCGGCCGCAATTTGTCGGTCCAGCACCACCCACATCCCTGGTGGAGCGTTGACTGTTGGTACAGTTCACTGTAAAGGTCATCAGAAATAACCATGCGATTACGCGTAACACGGTGTTTGGTTGTTGCAGCACTCAATGGATTGCGGGATAGTGATGCCGGCATTTCGACGCCTTTTTGCGTGACAGGTCCTTCAGCCACCATTGACTTGTCACAAAAAAAGCCGTCGAAAGCGAAATGTGCGTCGCTGTTTTTTTCGGATGAAGAAAGAGAGCGTACGTGCTGACTCAGCCTGGCTGGGATACATTCAGGACATTGATGCCTGATGGTGACAATCTTACACTCCTGTAATCGTCGAAGCGCTGAAATAAGCCGTTCGAGTTCAGGTGTTTTCAGAGCATCGTTGTAATACCGTACCAGACATTCCCCGTCTAATTTGTGATCGGAAAGATGATCGGCAGCATGCCAGGCGGAGGTTCATTTGGGCCCTAGAACGGATGTTTTCCCCGGCCACGCCCCACCACCGTTTTACCGGGAAAATCGTTTCCGCACAAAAAAAATTACTGAGAATCCTGGGGAGCGTTTCTATGGTCTCCGTGACAGTTTGATACCTTCTGTTGGCGCTTGTACAGGGAACTATCCAGCGCCGGTTTCCGCTACGTATTGATGTTATTAATTCCCGCCGCGAACACGGCTGCCCGCGAATCGCAATCCTCGGCTGATTCGGTCGGCATGCACGGTGCACTGCACACATCCACGGGATCATGTATCGCCGCTGAACGCACACAGAGGGTGCTTGACTTTTTGAGGAGATACTCTAATTCTTTGGCCCTTTAATTTTAACTTCCCTTAGGGGAAGTGGTCCGGCCGGTAAATGGTACCAAATTTGTGTACATGTGAGAAAACTTTCACTTTCGCGCACTCCCATACACGTTTTTGTTTCGTTTTATGCCAGTCTATAGTCAGATGACTTGTATACACTGTCGCGAAACCCCTATGTGCGCGCAACATCCGGTTCGAGAGTTATGGCTGTTAGAAAATTCCAAAAAGTTTATATGCATTCAGGTGTACCGAAACTTTTGGTCCAAAAGTCTCATGATCTGGACCGATCTCCTTCAAATTTTGCACATAAATGATGATAAATGCACTAAACCATGAAGATCGATTTCACACCGATCCACTTTCCTAGCATGTTTTTCAAATTTTAAAAAGAATTTCGAAAAATTCAAAATTGATTTTAAAACTGGAAAAAAATCGTGAAAGTCTGGATCGGCGTAAAAACGATCTTCATGACCGTGTGCATTTATGTGCAAAATTTGCAGGAGATCAGTCCATAATGAGACTTTTGGTACACCGGAATGCATTTAAACTTTTTGG